AAGATTAGAAAAAAATCACTCATTCATAATTAATTCTGACCAGACAGGTTTAATCAAGGGTAGACACTCAGCAAATAATAAATGTAAACTAATAGATTATTGCTCTATCAACAAATTAGAAACCACAGTTGTCTCCATAGATGTGTAGAAAGCGTTTGATCGAGTAAACTGGGAATTTTTAAACTGGATATATTTTATTCTTCACAAACTGGAATAAAAGACTTTACAGCTCTCCAAATGTCTGTGTTAGGACAAATCATCTGACTTCACTACCTACAGGGGGGCACCAGAGAGAGCTGTCTGCTTCACCCTCGCTTCTTGTTATTTTCATTGAGCCATTAGCAGCGGCAAACTGAAAATACACACCATAAGACAAGCCTATATGCTGATGATGTGTTACTTTTCCTCAGGAACTCACAAACATCGCTTGTAAAGACGATCACACTTATAAGTTATCATCCATATCAAACTACTCCATCGCAGAAGTAAATCAACAGGTCTGCAACAGAACTGTAATTTTCAAAACACCACCAGCGCTCCACTACAGTCAGGTAACATTAGATATCCAGGTATACGTTTTTCTGCCGAGCTCTCAGACCTGGTAAGGTTGACTCATATTCCTTTATTAAAAAAAGATCTCACACGTTGGACAACTTAACCCATATCACTCATGAGAAGAGCTGCCACCATTAAAATGATGATTCTACTGAAAATAAACGACTTATTTTCACTGATCCCTAATAAACCTTCTCACACTTGGTTTAGATCACGAGCTCCGTCGGATGCACAGACGACTGTATGTCACATGGTTGAGAGTGGCCGGCTGGGGTTCGAGTCTGGCCCTTTACTGCATGTTTCCCCCTCTCGCTTTCCTATCAGTCTTAACTGCATCTATCTAATAAAGCTGAAAAAAGGCCAACAAATATATTTATATTTAGATCACTAGACTCAACATTTGAATTTTTTATGGAAAAATCAACCATAACAGACGAGTGTAAAAACTTGTAAAAATCAAAACACAATGGTCTAAGAACTGCCAAGTTTCTATCACTGCTTCTTATCCAATAGGTTGCTATATGTGTCAGAATGAATTAAACCAAGCTTATCAGACAGGCCTTGGCTGGACCTAGAACATGTATTTTGTGGAAAAGTAAAAATCTCTAATGTGACTTTCATCAGCTCCAGTGTTAAGCGTCATAACTGCTTTAAAACCTCAACATAAACACTTCTCTGACAGTCTGATAGGAACTCTTAAAATAAGTCTTCACTTATCCCGTGTAAACTGACACCCATTTAAAACAATCCAGATATTTTAGTTTTTCATTGTGATATAGAACATGTTATACTAGATGGAAAATGTATTTCCTTTGAAGAATCAAAACATTGACTCAGCAAAGACACATTTCTTGAATATCCATCATACAGGAAACATTCACTCCCAGTCAACTGTATCTAGAAATATCTATTTGGGTAACAAAATGCTAAATATCTATACCTCCTGTAGTGGCAATTCCTTTTGTTTGACAAACCAA